AGAGAGAGAGAGAGACAGCTCAGTAACACTTAAAATCCAGATTCGTCCTCACGAGTCCCACAACCAAGGGAGCGCCAGTGCAAAGAGGTGCACATATGGGGATCCCCACGAGTGAATAATTACTCTGACGCCCTCACTCGCTCCTCCTTCCTCCCGCTCGCGCCTCCCTCCCCACCCAAAGATATTAACCAGATAAGACAAGACAAGATAATAAAGATTACTTTACAGTATAAGATAAGATAGCACAATTTATGTAAGGTAAGGTATGATATAGTGACAAGGTGGGATAATTAGATAAGATAAGACAGCCTATGAGTAATAAGATAAGACAGGATATTGTGCGAATAAGATGAGTTGATATGGAATAAGCTAATACGAGATAAAAGTGATTTCAAGATTAGTATAAGATAGAGGGTAATAAAGGTAGATAAGATAGGACTCGATAAGATATGATGAGACCCACTCTCACTCAGACCTCACTCACAAGTCACATTCACTCACACTTCACACTCTCCTTGATCACAAAACGCTGCCAGGGGCATCATTTGGGAGCCCCAAGGGGGAGCCACCCTGGCTGTTCTCACGAGCCCGTTCGCGCCGATTTTGGTGGGACGTCTCAGCTAGAATTGCCGTTTGGCGCCCCCAACATGTATCTCTTGAGAGCCTCATGATCACAAAAAGCTGCCAGGGGCATCATTTGGGAGCCCCAAGGGGGAGCCACCCTGGCTGATATCACGAGCCCGTTCGCGCCGATTTTGGTGGGACGTCTCAGCTAAAATGGCCGTTTGGCCTCCCCAACATGTCTCTCTTGAGAGCCTCATGGTCACAAAACGCTGCCAGGGGCATCATTTGGGAGCCCCAAGGGGGAGCCACCCTGGCTGATCTCACGAGCCCGTTCGCGCCGATTTTGGTGGGACGTCTCAGCTAAAATTGCCGTTTGGCCTCCCCCACATGTCTCTCTTGAGAGCCTCATGGTCACAAAACGCTGCCAGGGGCATCACTTGGGAGCCCCAAGGGGGAGCCACCCTGGCTGATATCACGAGCCCGTTCGCGCCGATTTTGGTGGGACGTCTCAGCTAAAATTGCCGTTTGGCCTCCCCAACATGTCTCTCTTGAGAGCCTCATGGTCACAAAACGCTGCCAGGGGCATCATTTGGGAGCCCCAAGGGGGAGCCACCCTGGCTGATCTCACGAGCCCGTTCGCGCCGATTTTGGTGGGACGCCTCAGCTAGAATTGCCGTTTGGCCTCCCAAACTTGTATCTCTTGAGAGCCTCATGGTCACAAAACGCTGCCAGGGGCATCCCTTGGTAAGACCACTAGGTGGAGGCCACCCTGGTGAGATATCACGAAGCCGTTTCGCGCCGATTTTGGTGGTTGGCAATAAATCGTCTCAGATAAATTGCCGTTTGGCCTCCCAAACTTGTCTCTCTTGATGAGCATCATGGTCATGGTCCACAAAACGCTGCCAGGGGCATCATTTGGGAGCCCCAAGGGGGAGCCACCCTGGCTGATCTCACGAGCCCGTTCGCGCCGATTTTGGTGGGACGCCTCAGCTAGAATTGCCGTTTGGCCTCCCAAACATGTCTCTCTTGAGAGCCTCATGATCACAAAACGCTGCCAGGGGCATCATTTGGGAGCCCCAAGGGGGAGCCACCCTGGCTGATCTCACGAGCCCGTTCGCGCCGATTTTGGTGGGACGCCTCAGCTAGAATTGCCGTTTGGCGTACCCCAACATGTATCTCTTGAGAGCCTCATGGTCACAAAACGCTGCCAGGGGCATCATTTGGGAGCCCCAAGGGGGAGCCACCCTGGCTGATCTCACGAGCCCGTTCGCGCCGATTTTGGTGGACGCCTCAGCTAGAATTGCCGTTTGGCGTCCCAAACATGTATCTCTTGAGAGCCTCATGGTCACAAAACGCTGCCAGGGGCATCATTTGGGAGCCCCAGGGGGGGTCCACCAGGGGCTTCATAGTCACCAAACGCTGCCAGGGGCAGCATTTTGGCTTCCCAAAGAGGAGTCGACCCGGGCCTCCTAGTCGCCAGACACTGCCAGGGGCACCATTGGGATTCAGACTCGCACCCAGACTCACTCATACACAAGCTCACTCACACTCAGATTCATTTCTTCAGAGTCAGGCACACACAGACGTATCCATACTCAGACTCACCCACACTCAGGCTCACCTAACCCAGACTCCGTCAGAAGCCAGTAGCGAAGAGAGCAGAGAGGAGAGAGAGAGAGAGAGAGAGAGAGAGAGAGAAGAGAGAGAGAGAGAGAGGAGAGAGAGAGAGAGAGAGAGACGAGAGAGAGAGCGCGCGAGCGCGAGCGCGAGCGCGGCGCGCGAGCGCGGAGCGAGAGCGAGAGAGAGAGAGAGAGCGAGCGAGAGAGAGAGAGAGGCGAGCGAGACGAAGCGAGCGAGAGAGAGAGAGAGAGAGGAATAGATAGAGAGAGAGAAGGAGAGGAAGAGAGAGAGAGAGCAAGAGAGAGAGAGAGAGGAAGCGAGAGAGAGGGAGAGGAGAGAGAGAGAGAGAGAGCGGAGAGAGAGAGGGGGAGTTGAGAGAGGAGACAGGCGAGAGAAAGAGAGAAGAGAGAGAGAGAGAGAGAGAGAGAGAGAAGAGAGAAGAGAGAGAGAGAGAGAGAGATAGATAGAAGAGAGAGAAGAGAGAGAGAGGAGGAGAGAGAGAGAGAGAGAGAAGAGAGAAGTAGATATAGAAGAGAGAGAGAGAGGAGAGAGAGAGAGAGAGAAAGTGGAAAGAGAGGGGGGGGGAGAGAGAGAGAGAGAAGAGAGAGAGAGAGAGAAGAGAAGCGAAGAGAAGAGAAGAGAGAGATAGAGAGAGAGAGCGAGAGACGAGAGAGAGAGAGAGAGCAGAGAGAGAGAGAGAGAGAGAGCGGGAGAGAGCGAGGGAGAGCGAGAGAGAGCGAGAGAGAGCGAGAGAGCGAGGGAGAGCGAGAGAGAGAGAGAGAGAGCGAGTGAGAGCGAGAGAGAGAGAGAGAGAGAGAGAGAGAGAGAGAGAGAGAGAGAGAGAGAGAGAGAGAGAGAGAGAGAGAGAGAGAGAGAGAGAGAGAGAGAGAGAGAGAGAGAGAGAGAGAGAGAGAGAGAGAGAGAGAAGAGAAGAGAGAGAGAGAGAGAAGAGAGAGAGAAGAGAAGAGAAGAGAAGAGAAGAGAAGAGAGAGAGCGAGAGAGAGAGAGAGGGAGAGTGAGAGAGAGAGGAGAGAGCAGAGAGAGAATAGAGAGAAGAGAGAGAGGAGAGAGAGAGAGAGAGCAGAGATAGAGGCAGAGAGAGAGAGGCACAGAGAGAGAGGCAGAGAGAGAGAGAGGCAGAGAGAGAGAGGCAGAGAGAGAGGCAGAGAGAGAGAGAGAGCAGGGAAAGAGAGGCAGAGACAGAGAGAGGGCAGAGAGAGAGAGAGAGACAGAGAGAGCAGAGAGAGAGAGAGAGAGGCAGCTCAGTCACACTTAAATCCAGATTCGTCCTCACCGAGTCCCACCACCAAGGGAGCGCCAGCAAGGAGATGCACATATGGGGATCCCCACGCAGTGAATAATTACTTCTGGGAGGTCCGCGCGGATTTCTTGGATCGGCGCCGACCCCCCTCCCTGGCGCGCGAAGCGCACCAGGGGCGGCGCTGGAGGCGCCGCCAGGCGGGCCCAGCGCCCATCCAAGGAATCCGCACGGACCTCCAAAAAATTATGTCTATGCCTTTTGTCGTTCTCCGGGACAGTCCTATCCTGTCGGGGTGGGCTACTCGGCGTGACGTGGTGCAGCCTGCGTGCTACCCATAGGGAACGCCAGATGGGGAAAGGAGGGGCTTCCCTGGCCAGGGCTCACCTCGGCCACGGACAGGTCCCCCGACCTGAAATCCGAGGCACGGCCCGAGAACCGGGGCCCAGACAGGCGACGTCTCGGTTCCGACAGTCCGCGGTGCCCGGAAGTCCCAGGCGTTTCCCCAGGGCCGGATCCTCATCCTGAGCCGTTTCTCGCCAGTCCCGGGGCCCGGCGAGGGCCCCCTGAGGCCGAAAACGGCCAAAAAACCTCCCATCTGAATCATTGCACGGCCGGGAGAAAGCGCCCGAAACTGTCAGGAACCTCACGACGCGCGCACGGCTGGGCTCACTTTAGCGCCGCCGCTGCAGGTGCCAAGGGGGCGCCAACCCCCACCGACGGGCCCGAGGGGACCCCTGCCGCGGAGGGCCCCCCCGCGCAGGGGGCGCGCTCTCGGCCACCGCCGTGGTGCGCTCCAGCGAGGCAAGGCTGATCCCACTCGCGCGGAGGGGTAGCCCCCCTGGGAGGCGCACGTCCGAGCGGAGCACACAGTCTGAGCATCTCGTGGTGTCTGTGTACACATACATACAGATAGATCGATGTGCAGATGCATGTGGATATGGATACATATATATATATACCTATATATTTACACACCTATATACATATATATATATATATACATATATATATATACATGTATATATGTATATATATATACATATATATGTGTGTGTATACACATGTATATGTCGATGCATGTGCAAATATACCTGAGGTGATAAGGGCAGAAAGCGCCCACCACCGAGCATGTTATGCAGGATTTGTGAGCGCGCGTGTCGCCCCCGGAGTGCCGACGCACACATAGCACAAGGGTGTGTTGGGTGATGCCAGCCCACGCTTGCTGCGGACCGCGGCACCCAACAGCTGGCGCCTCGATGTTCGTCGAGACACGGGCCCCAGGCCTCTCGACAGCGTCCCTGGGCCTGGCTTTTCATCCAGGAGCGTTTTTCTGACGACCCCGGCCTGCGAGGGCCCACAGACGCCTGCTGTCTGGGAGTGGGGGGGTCCAGCTCCCTGGTTCCTCCTCCCTGGGGGACAAAGAAGGTACCCACACGGTACTCCCCAGACCTCTCCCAGAGCACCACACGAGGCCAACAAAGGCAAAAGCGAGGCAAGGGTAGCGGTATCAGTATATTGGCGGGGCGCAAAAGGGAGGTAATTAGAGGGGGGGAGGCTCCTTAAGAGGAGGCTGCTTCTTAGAAGGTGCCAGCCCTACATCTATGGATGAGGCCCGCGCCTTCTAAGAAGCACGGGTGCTTCCAAGGAGCCCTGCCCCCTGCGCGTGGCTGCATACCTTTTCTTCCTTGGCTTCCCTGGGCCTCTGGAGGAGGCCCCGTATTCTCCACTCGACCGTGTCCAGGTGCCAGCTGTGCAGCTCCAGCGCCCCCCTGGCGACAAGGCGCTCGGGGCCCCGGTTCACCAGCCTCAGGCCCGGGGAGGGCTCGCGGAAGGTGGTGAGCTCGAGCACGTCGACCCCAACGACCACCGAGTCCTAGAAGAGGAAACCACATAAACTCGAGCGGTCGAAGGTCCGCGCGGACTTCTCGGATCGTCGCTGGGCCCACCCTCGCCGCCACGCCACGGAGCATCTGGCGCAGATCCAAGGAATCCGCGCAGACCTCCGAACATTCAGGCTTGTGCCGAAACTTGTTCTTCCAAGTCCGTCAGCGCGTCGCGTTGTGCCTCGAGGCAGCAGAAGTTGGACTGACCCTTCCCCATCCTCGTGGGGTACTCGTCCTCCTCGGGCGCCAGCTGGTGGCCCCCCACGCGCAGCTGGTACTTCACGCGGACGCCCGCCCTGCACCACAGGAAGAGGGCGCAGAAGCCCTCCGTGCGGGTGCTCGCTCTGCCCCTGGGGAAGAACTCCAGCTGCAGGCCGGGCACGCCCATGATGGCAAACTCCTCTGCGGGACAACGCTCCGGGGGGACCGGCCCAGGAGAGGGGGGGGGGCAGGCGTCGACCTGGAATCGGTGATACGTCGCCGACACATCGGCAATGGGCCCCCGACTGCAAGGACGCACGGTCCTGGGCGAGGTGGGTTGTCGGGCCCCCATCGGCGATCAGTGGGCGATTGGGGGGGGGATGCATCCCCCCCTGAGCGCATCCCCCCCTTGCCCCCTGCTGTTGCCCATGAGCTCCTCGGACCACAGAGAGTCGTCCTTCTGGAGGAACCAACAGGCACCCATACCGCCACTCCCCGGACCTCTGACAGGGTGCGCTCTGAGCAAAATTTCGAGGCGGACCCAGCCGTGGCGACGAGGCCCTCCCAGGACGCCCTGGAAGACGAAAGCGAGCGAAGGGTACAGTCAACACTGATAGTAAGGATGAGCGACTTTCCAAGGTTTCCCTTGCATCCTCTCCCTTCGGCCCATCCTTGGCCACTTTCGTTGGCCACGCCCCGCTCGAAAAGTGTCCGCACGGCCTTCCAGGGCCCTTGCCCCCTCATCGTGCATCCGTACTAACACTTTTGACTGCAGCGGTATGGGTACCTTTTCCTGCTCTGACCTTCGACATGCCCCCGCAGCGCGCCGCGAGGTCGTCGATTCTCCACTCGAAGGCGCGCACGAAGGTGCTGTCCTTGGCCCCGGCAGCCAGCGACGTCAGCCGGGCCCTCAGCGCAGAGGCCTCCGCCCGCAGGCGGACGACGGCCTCCCTGTGGCGCTGGTCGTTCTCCTCCAGCCTGGGGGGGAGGGGGCGACGTCTCGGGGGCGTCCCGGAGGGGGGCGTCCAAGAGGGGGGATCGCAGATCATGGCCCGAGGCATGTGCGCGGACCAGGGAGGGCCATGAGACGCAGTCTGAAAAACAGAGAAGGGTCTGGACATGAGATCTGGGGAGAATACCATGGCACCCGCCACGGTATCCCCCCCCTAATCATCACCGCCCACCTGAAAGCTCCCGCATCGAGAAGCACCGCCGGACCGCCGCCGACCGATGCTCCTCGGAACGCGTGCCTGTGCCACCGTCCCCAACACTTTTTGGTCGGCGGGTCGGGAGCGGGCCCCTTCCGGTCAAGAGCTAGGCGGGGCGCGCGAAGCCCTAATTGGGGAGACAGGGCGCGGGCTGGCGGGGCCTCAGGCGGCCAGAGGGTACAGAGTGCAGGCGGCGCCGAAGATCTTGCACAGGACTACGTAGGTACCCCATGGACAGGAGCAGGGGGCGAAGTCCCAGAGGGAGAGCGCATTGGTGTTGCCGTCATCGGCGCGCTAAGAACACCATCCTCGAGTGCTGTTACCGCCCCCAGCACACGCTCCGAGGATCGCCGCACCGGGCGCACCTCAGGCCCGAGGGCCGGGCGATGGGGCGCGCGCGTGGCCCGCCAGGGGGCTCACAAGTGGCGGGGGGCCGGGGGACCGCGCCGCACCGCCGAGGCGCATCGCCGAGGCGCCTCGGCGAGGCATCGGCGCCGTCGGCGTGGACGCATCGCCCGTCGTCGGCCATGCACCGGCAACGCGGCGCGATCCTCCGACCCGATCTGCTCGGACCCCATCCGGGAGGCTTGGACGGAAACAGCTGCTCACGACCAAATTTGACCTCCGCTGGCCTTCTGCCTCTCGGCGGCGCGCCCACGGGGGGAGGCAGAGGGGGCGGGCCTTCTCCGCAGGCTGAGAAGCCCTCTGGTATTCTGAGCAGCTCTCTGAGCCTTTCGCGAGGCCCCGGCGCATTCTGAGAAGGCATGCCCAGTGCCCTGAGATCCGACGCAGCGAAAAAATTGCTGCCGAACCTTTCGAGCCCCGTCGAAACGACCGGCCCGACAAAAAATATTCAACACCAGCACCTCAGGGTCTGCCTTCCCCCTCTGCGCGCCGCAGAACTCTGCCTTCCTGGAGGAACAAGCACCGCACACAAAAACTGCATGAACACAATCCCTCGCCGCCCCAGGCGAATTTCTTGGTTGGATCGGCGCCAGCCCCCCCGGCGGCTCCTCCAGCGCCGCCCCGGGCGCCCGGCCTCGGGCCCTCTGAGTTTTTTCAAAGCCTTCCCCGAAGGCACGGGAGAAAGTTTCTCGCAAGGCCAGCGGGCGTCTGAGAAGCCCCGCCGCCCTCTGACGAGGCCTGCCCCCTCGCGCACCCCCCCCCCCGGGTTCGCCTTCTGCCCTTCGCCTTCCGCCAGCGGCCTGGCCTGCTGCTCGCCCCCCCCCGGCCTTCCGCCGCCCTCCGCCGAGCACGAAGTGCCCCGAACCCTCCAACCCCCCGAGCCCCCCCCCCCCCGAAGGCGAGGCCCAACACGCCTCGCAGGGTGGCCTCTGGGGCCCGCGCGCGGGGGCCGACGGCCACCCAGGTCCTCCTGTGGTAACTCACGGCGGAATCCCATATACTATCCTGTTGATGATTGCGGATCGGCGCCGGTCGACGCTGGTCCACGCGAATCGACGCGAATCGACGCCACGTCGACGCTAATCGACACTAGCTCGGTGCTGTTTCATCGCCTACCAGACGCTGGTCGACGCTAAAAACAATTTAAAAACGGAGTAACGCAGACACACAAGGCTCCCGTGATTTGCTACCGACAGACCCCTCGAGCCCTGAGATCCTGGCGTCTCAATTGTTTCCGAACCTGGCGTTTCGCCCATTTTCGTTTCCCAGGACCCTCGGTTCGAAAAATGCCGCAGAAAGATTGGGTCTAGGGCGCTGCCTATGTTTTGTAGCGACGTCGGATCTCAGCGATGACCTACCAGCCCACCCACACCTAACCTGAAGATTCAAACTTCGGGCTCGGGCTGAGTACGAATTCCACATGTGTTTTTTGGTGACAGAGGGCTCGAGTACCCGAGGCCGAAGACAGCCTGCGGCTACAACTGGTCGGGGCGGTAGACCCCTCTGGACTTCCCGTCGGCTACACACACACACACACAGCGGACCCAGGCGATAATGGTTTTGGGGCTGCCAAGGGGTCTGAACTGCTTGGGACCTGAGAAGCTCAGTCAAGAGAGCCGGGTGTAGCTAGAAGCGCCCCTGGCCTGAGGTGCCCCAACGATTTCCAAGGAAGCCCCCACGGCTCCCAGAGAACCCCTCACAACGCCCAGGGGGCCCCAGAGAGCTCCGAAGAAGAGCGGAAGAAAGACGCCGCGCACGTCAGTAGTGCCTCGGCAAGGAAAGCAGCCCCGGCATGAAGGCCGCAAAATTTTGTGAAGCGATACGAAAACAATGCAACTCTCTCGGCATCCCTGGCTCCACAAGCGAGGAACGTCCGAGACCCTTACAAGGTTTACAATTACAATCTTTAAAATTGAACTACGTACACAATGCACGTTTGGCGGTGGTTTGTCACTTGCCTGGCGGCCCCTGCCATGCTTCGCGCCAGGCACCCGAGTCCCCAGCAATTCGGACGGCCAGCTCGCGCACGCTGCGCTTCCATTCGTTTCTTGGCACCCCCCTGGGGGCCCTCTCCGGTTCAAATGGCACAAGATCCCAGCCGAACACGCAGCGCCGAAAGGGGGGGGCCGTCTGAAAGAATCGCGCTGCGACCCAAGACACACCTGCCTGCACGCAAAGCCGGCCACAGCAGCATGCCTGCAAAATGGCAACATTACTGATGCGGTTGCAGTATGCAGAGCAGATACCAGCTGGCCTGCGCAGGCAACGTGCGCGGAACGAACCTAGCTAGTTGCACTCACACACGCTCAGCCACATTGCGCGGCGGCAGTACATTGATTTGCGACAACACATTTCTCAAATATCGCAACCCTTCCCTGCAATGGCAAGCGGGCGTCTTTCCAGATCCTACCTGACGCGCGAAAGTGTAGCGATGCCACGCCAATCCTCCTGCTCTGCTATGCGCCACTGGAGCCCGAGGCGTCCAGGAGACCTCCAGAGGTGCACCATGCTGTCTGAGATCGGCTCGCCATCTGGTCGGCGGGCGCCAGCGCTCCGCCGCGCGGGAAGCGCCTCCATTTTGTCCCAGTTGAAAGCCAATCCGTAATTCTTGTCAATCCCGTGAATCGGCTGCATCAGAGCACCGACGCACGCCGCCGTCGACCCAACGAGTAGCGCGTCGCCCACATGGATGAGCTCGCCAATTCCAAAGGCGCCTGTCACAAAACCCCTGCTCCGGACGGCGCGCAGCGCGTCGCGCGTGAGAACAGCCACGACGACAGAGAAAAGGAACGGCGAAAGGCCGCGGGTCCGACATCGCCCCGGCATCGCGAACGAGGAAAAATCGGTTTGCGCGGATCACCCGCAAGGCCTCGGCGAAGCTGCCAGGGACGCCAAATCCCAGGAGCACATACACCAATGCGCCCGGCGACGAGCCGTCGAACGCCTTCGCCCAGTCCAAGGCAAGGGAGACTAGCTTGCCCGATTGCGCGTCCCAGACGTATTCGAGAAGTCCCCTGGCCACGGACAAAGCCTCGGACGCTCTACAGCCTGATCGGAATCCAAGCTGAATGCCCCAGGTCCGAGACCTCTACGCCATGACATCTCAGTCTGCTGAGCAGCAGAAAGGAAAAGAGCCTGTAGCCGATGGGCAATAGCGAAATTGGGCCGGCAGTAGGCACGGGGCGCCGAGTCTCCCATCTTAGACACGGCCGTCACAACAGCCTGGCCCCACGCGTCTGGAACGCATTCCTCCGCACAGCACAGGTTGCACAGCAGGGTCGCCCGCTCGCACTCTGGCGCGTCTGTCCTACAGACTGCCGCCCAGAATTCCTGAACTCGGCGGGCGCGCCGTCCTCGCCAGCAGCTCGGTCGCGCCCACTTCCTTCAGCCACTCGGCCGCCTTCGACCTGGGCGACAGGGCAGCGGTGGCCCCGACGGGGGGCGTCGAGCTGAGCGCCCACATTATCCGGATTACCCGCCGCCGCTGTCGGGCGTAATCGGCCAGAGTCTCGGCCCCCCTGTCGCCATCTGCGAGCTAGCCGCTGGCACCCTTCATTCCCCCTCGGGGCGCGGCGGAACCTGTCTCCAATATTCTCACTTCGGCCGAGTCGCCGTCAGCCAACCGACGTTGAGCCAGGCTGCTCGATCTGCGTTGGGTGGTGCCCTGATCCACCCGCTCAGCGGTTTCTCGCGCGCAAAGTCCCAGCCTCCTCTCGCCTCGCCCCTAAGCGCAATCAGCTGCAACGCACCGTCGCTGATCCAGGGTCGCCGCCGCAAGGCAAAAATTAAAATGGGCCACTCCCAGCAACGCGCCCGAAAGCTCCCGTCTTATGATCGACGAGCTGATTGAAAGAATCCTGCGGCGCGCAGTGCCCCACCACGTGTTCTGCGAAGGTGGCACCGAAGTGTCTGGCGACGCTGGCGTCGGCCATGGCTGCTGCGCTCGGCCGCGGCCCCCTTGCCTTTCCATTTCTTCGAGGATATCGCGAGGATATCTCGAGATTGCAAAAAGAAAGGGAATGGCGCGATGATGAGGCTGCTTCTCTGCGGCCCCCCACGCCCAGCACGCTCGGCAGGTGGGACTGCGGGCATAGGCGAGAGACCCCAGTTGGAGTCTGATTTGAATCGCGCTGCAGATTCTCCAACAAATTGCGCTGAAATCTCCCAGCTGACGTGCCCGGCTGCGTCTCGGTGTTCTCGAAAGCATCGCACCGAAGCCCCGATGGAACTCTTCGCGGTCCTCTGGCGGCTTTCCACTGCTAGGGGCACCGCGCTGCGGACTGGACCATTCCCCCGCCGGACGCGGATTTTCAGATAAGCGAACGCGGACTTTCAGATAAGCAACTCGTGAACATATCAACTTGAAGCCTGCGAGACTCTTGCGGGCTTTAGGAGACACCAAAAAAACAACTCCAGCTGTCTCCTCGTTGTCAGAGCTCCCGGACAGAACCACCAAAAGGTCCCGTTCAGTCTCATAACATATTGATTCGTTATTCTGCGTCTCCTGCATTGCGAGCGCGTCGATGTCCAGCGCCTGCATGTGGATCTGCAGTTCCTCCAGCTTCCCCTTAGTCAGGCCCTCGGCGTTCCACGACCCGAAGACAAGACTCACCCTGTAGGTTGCAACTTGCCTCGTCGAAAATCAGGGTGCGATGGCCCACTGCGGGCTCTACGCATGCATGGGTTTTTACATAATTCTTGGCCGATCTGGATTTATACTGGCAGTAGTGCCGATTTCAGGTGGTGGTGAAACTACGCCGGGGGCCATTTCCTCTTCGACACTCCTCCCTACCAATAATGGCAGTGTACGGGGGACCCTCTGCAATGCTCACTGAGTATCAGAGCTCCCACTCGGTTTTGAACAGACGCTTGAGGCCGCATACGAAATTGCAAGCCGCCTTTTCTGGCGCAGGGCAATCGGGGTTCACCCTGCGAACAGCATCCCGTGGAACTCCACCTTAGAATAGATGTTGGTGGGAGCTGGGCCTTTGAGGGTATTCAGCTTGTCCTTTAACCATACGGTCGCCTCGCGAAGATTGCTGAAACCACCCATGTTCCCGATGATGGCCGAGAAGTGCCTCTTGTCCGTCCGCTCCGTTGGGGGGCACGTAGGGCAACTGCTGGGGCACTTTGCCTGTCATGGCCTGCTGGACGCAATCTCTAACCTTTCTCTATGGTGTCGGCGTCCGTGCCTTTTTGCATTTCTTGGTAGATGTTCTCCAGCTTTGCGATCCGCATCTCGTTCGTGACGATGCTCGCTTCCATCACTTCCATGCGACTCGAAAGATCAGCGGCCAGGTCTGACACGTTTTTGTCCAAGGCCTGGACACCCTTCTTCAAATCATCAACAATCGACAGTCGTAGGGGCGAGCTGTTGTTGGAGCAAAGCCGCAATTCCTGCCATCGTGCGCGGCCGGGGCCGCATCGCTGAAGTTCGGCTACCTGTGCGGGGCTTGGGATCAGCTCCCCGTCCTCCAGGTCGTCATCCATGGCCACGTAGCTCGCGTGCCCCTTGTCCATGTCAGCCTCGTCCTCGTGATGAGCGCCCAGCAGAGGTGCGAGAGGCGAGTCCAGCTCGTGGCCGGCACGTTGCCGTTTGTCCTCGCGCGTCTGCTCCCAATGATTCTTCAGCACGTCGCGGACTGGGGTGCCCGTCATGCGGGTATGGCGAGCGACCGGTTGGGGAGAGGCCATCGCGCGCGGGGCAGCGTAGCCGACTCTCGACCCCTCCCCACTAAGTCCAGCCATGAACAGTTAATCCCGACTCCTCATCTCAAGACCAAGGCCACTCGAGTCGTGAAAACATCACGACAGGAGATTGTTCGCCATTTTCGATCTCAGAGAGCCCTCACAAGGCCTCGGGACCGTCAAAAACGACTGAGGATGAAAAACCGGTCCTGGGGAATGGGTCGAGACCTCGTGGGGTCGACACTCTGACAAAAAAACAAAAAAAACATGTTGTCGGGGGTCTGGGGAAGAAGAGGCAGGATGAGGACAGATTCGGATGAGGACAGGTCGGGAATCTCTGGGAGCTGGTGGACTGGAGGATGCATGGAGCGCCGCGACCGTTCCAGGGCGCTCCAGAAACCTCTGAGAGCGCTGTTTATCATAATCCTAGGCCTGCCCAGCCAAGGCCAGCTTTTCATTCGCAGTTCCGTTTCGACGGTCCTGGGGCCCGAGACCCGACTACAAGAGCCAACCACGGCGAACGTACCCTAGCGGCCCCTGTTTCGACTCCCCTCTGTACCCTGCTGAACGGCGGAAGTTGTGAGGCCAATTCCCCAGACCGCACCGTCCAGACAGTCACCGCACACTCCCTGTCCAGACAGTCACCCCGATCTGTCCAGACCGTCACCACCGCTCTTCATCGACAGGCCGCAACCAGATGTCTGGAGAGTGGAGGCCCAGTGGCACTGGCTGGTGCCCCCCCTCTTCGGCACCTCCGACGTTCGCACGGAAAAAACGGCACGATGCCCGACAGCGAGCGCGCTGTCCAGGGTCGACGGCGGCCGCTGGTGGGGCAGGCGATGTTTCAGCCCCACGCGGACGACGCCCGCGGCGGCGTCCTCCAGAACGGGTACGAGGTGGTGCTGTGCTCTGTTCGCCCCTGTTCTGCTGGCAGGAGCACGCTCACGGGCCAGTGCTCGGGCCTCCAGCGGCCGCTCGTGACCATCCAAGCACCCCCGGAGCGCCCCCGGCGAGGCGAGCGCGGCTGCCCAAGACATAATTAGGGCCGACTTCCCGTCCCGAGCCGCTCCCTGACGGTCCTGGGGCCAGCGAGGGCCCCCAGAGGCCCTGACACCGCCGAGACCCCCCCGTCGTGGCTGTTGTCCACGGCGCTTGCATGTCTGGGGCTGCTCAAAATGCGCAGGCATCTGCGATCGGCCCTTGCCTCTGGCCTCGCCGGGGGGGCGTAAGAGGTGGGGCCCGAGACAAATCGCTCACAAAAAACAGCCCGTGAAAGAAGGAGATCTGAGTATCCAGCTGGGTACGCTCCCTGACCCCACCCTGGGATGACCCCCCCCTCTCCGAAACCCCGCCCGCTCTCTCCGCACCCGCTTTTGCCGTGCCAATCCCCCGGCGGCCGGCGCTCCAGCTCGCCGAGGGCCAGGGCGGCCATCGCGCGCGCGCGTGCCAGAGGCCGCGGGGCCACGCCTCCGCCCAGCCCCGCGCGGTCGGCCGCCCCAGGCGGAAGGCGGCGGAGAGCGCGGGGAGGGTGGGGGCCTTGCGCTGGGAGGGGGGCCTCGGCCGGCGCAGGAGGCGGGAGGTGGGTGGCCAACGCGGGAGGTAGGGAGCTGGGGTAAGAGGTGGGAGGCGGGGAGGTAGAAGGCAGGCGGTGGGGGCGGTGGGGTAAGAGGCAGGAGGTGGGAGGTAGGAGGGATGTGGGAGGTGGGAGGCAGGAGGCACGGCTGGTTCGCGTCGCGATGTCGCGGGCGTTGGTTTCTGACGCCACGTGGGCTCTCCCATAGCGCAGATCGCTCGACTCTGGGCCACTCGCGGCGTTCAACCATCAACGGCCTCGCTGGGGTCGTCGCCGCGCCAACGCGAAAAACCTAGCGTAGCAGGTGGGTTTAGACGTGGAAGGTTGGGAGGCGCAAGTTAGGACGCAGGCGGGTGGGGGGGTAGGAGGTAGAAGGGCGCAGGAGAAGGGCCATGAGGTGAAAGGAGGTAGGAAAAGGAGTAGATGGAGGAGGATGCGCAGGAGGAGGCGGGTGGTGGTGGGTCCTACCTCCCAACTCCTCGCACCTCGGGAGCAGGAGGATCGGGAGGAGGAGGAAAAATGAGGGATGGCTCTTCACCTGAAGGGGGAGGAGGGGAAGGAAGAGGAGGAGGAGGAGGAGGAGGAGGAGGAGGAGGAGGAAGAAGAGGGGTAGGAGGGCCTAAGGGGAGGAGAGGAAAGAGGAGGCGTAAGAGTGGGGAGGAAGAAAAGGAACAGAAGGAGAAAAAGGATCGATGAGGCCGACGGCGTGTGTGAACGCCGACGCGCGTTTATCCGCAGAAGCCCTTGGCACGCGGGGCGCGGGGCGCTAGGGGTCGCCAAGGACACCAGCGTTATCCGCGGAGGTCAACGAGGTAAACCTGCACTAGGCTATCCAACGCTGGGGACGAATAGAAAAGGGGATGGCTGTACGCCAGAGTGTACGGCACCTCCACCCTGGGAAAGAAGATGCGCTGGAAACGCGCGAGGTCGGAGACGCTGCAACGTACATCCCCGAGTTCACTTCAGGCAATGGCCCAGCCAGCGCCAAGCACTCATAGCAATCACCGCCGCATGGGTTTTGCAAACCAAGTTGCGGGTGGGTGGATGAGTTGTTTGCGCGAGCACTGGAATGGGCAACGTCAGGTTGAGCGTTGGTGGATTGCACCACATATATTCTCTTTTCCGGATGAAGAAATACTCGACCACCCTGCCGAGGCCGGAATTATCGTCACCCCCTGGGGATGTGCAATTTACACACGATTTTGCCCCATCGTCCATCCGAAATATGAATTCACACCATCGCGAAGAGGCCGAAATCGCCGCCCCCCTTCATCGTCTGCTGAAAAATACGCATGCGCACTTAGTCAAAAACCATCCGTGTTCAATAATCCCCTGCAAAACAAATACGAAGTGCACACGCGCGCGTCGTCGCGCGCGCACGCCGATATTATATATATATATATATAAATACTAGAACCATCGCGCGCGCTTCGCGCGCGCTCAAGTTCTAGCTAGGATAATCGTCATCGTCATCATCGCCATCCTCATCACCATCATATCCAGCGTCATCGTCAGCGGCATCGTCATCATCACCATGACCATCACCATTATCACAATCGTCACCATCACCACCATCAGCAGCAACATCGTCATCACCATTGTCATCATCGCCATCGTCGTCATCATCGTCAATATCGTCACCTGAATTATCAACATAATCATCCTCATCATCGCCATCGTCATCATTATCGTCGTCGTCGTGATCATCGTCATCGTTATCGTCATCATCGTCATCATCTTCATCATCCGCCCACTCCTGCATCACAAGCACCATAAACAGCATCGCCACCATTATTATCAGCATCGGCGTTATCATCCTGACCATCAGCGGCATCAGTATAATGATCGTCTGCATCACCATCCTCAACGGCATCACCGTCATCGTCATCATGATCGTCAGCATCACCACCATCATCATCACCACCATCACTCACATCACGATCACCATCATCAACATCATCATCATCATCATCATCATCATCATCATCATCAGCATCATCATCATCATCATCATCAGCATCATCATTCCCACTGACAACATCATCATCATAATATTTTTCCTCATCATCATCATCATCATCATCATCATCATCATCATCATCATCATCATCATCATCATCATCGTCAACTTCATAATAGTCGTCATCATCGTCATCATGTTCGTCACCGTCGTCTCCGAAGCTCCCCCGTCGAACTCGAGGATATCTCCGCAGCGTCTTGCATGCCGCGTGAGCAGTATTGGGGATTTAGGTTGTGGGCCTGAGGCCGCCCTGCATAATCATCATTGTCACTATCACCAGCGTCTGGAAGCCTTGCGGGGCCCTTCCGGCGCCTTTTGGAGGCCTCTTGGAGCTTCCTGGGGGCCTCTCGAGGCCTCTTGCGGACTCCTGGGGGCCTCTTGGGAGCTTCTGGTGGGCGAGGGCTCGAAATGTCAGCTCGTGTTCCCCATCTGGGGCTCCTCTTGCAGTGTTCTGGGAGCTCTTTTGGGCCGTCTTGGAAGCTTCCTGGGCCGTCTTGGGGCCCTCTTGGGCTGTCTCGGTGGTCTCCTGGGGGCCTCTGGGCTTGTCTTGAGGCGATCTTTCGGGCCTCTTGGGCCGCCTTAGAGCGTCTGGAAGCCGAACTGGGGAGAACGCCAAAACCCTTCAAAACCCAATAAAAATCAGTGACAATTTCCTTTTGGGCCCCTCCCGGGAGTGCTGTCGGAGACCTGCTGGGACGCTTTGGCAGCTTTTTAACCGTCTTGGAGTGCTCCTGGGCCGCTTCGGACCTCTCTTGGGCTGTCCTGAGGGCGTCCTGGAGCCATTTTAGAGGGTCCTGGGAGCGTCCTGGCGTCTCCGGCGGGGGGGTGACCACAGCCACTGGGCAAAGTGAGGCCCCCCCCTGGTCCAGGACCCCCTCCCCATTATATATATATATATATATATATATAATATATAATATATATATATATATTATATATATATATATATATATATATATATATATCTCTATATATATAATATATATATTACATATATACATACATACATATACATTACATACATCATGCATGCATGCAATCATGCATGCATGCATTGCATGCATACATACATACATACATTCATTACATTCATACATATATACAGATATACATATACACATATATCATATTACATATATTTACATGATATACATAGATATACATATATACATCTATACATATACACATATACATATGTAACATATATACATAGGTACTGTGTATATACATATATACAGATATATATACATATATATAAATTATATAACATATATATATATGTTATATATATATTATATATACATATTACATGCATACATACATGCATGCATGCATGCATGCTACATACATGCATACACATATATATATATATAGAGAGAGAGAGGAGAAGAGAAGAGAAGAAGGAAGCAAAAAAAAAAAAAAAAAAAAAAAAAAAAAAAAAAAAAAAAAAAAAAAAAAAAAAAAAAAAAAAAAAAAAAAAAAAAAAAAAAAAAAAACGTAGGATTGTGTACACAGGAGAAGGATAATCTATAGAAACATACGTACGTCGTCCAAGGCGCCTCGGAAGGCGCAGAATACGTCCTCCAAGGCGCCTCGGAAGGCGCATACTCCTCCAAGGCGCGGAATCATGTTCCCGGACCGCCTTCCGGGAACATGATGGGGACGACCTCCTGAGGGCCTCCAGTGGGCCTCTTGGGGGCCTCTCGGAGGCCTGTTGGGCTCTCCTCGAGGCGTCTTGGGGCGCGTTCAGGGCCATTTGGGGGCATCTTGGGGGCCTCTGGGGGCCTCCGGGGAGGCTCTTGGGGGCCTCTTTGGGGCCTCTTGGGGCCTCGCGGGGCCCTCTTGGGGACCGCTGGGCTCGCTTAGGCAGTCTTGAAGCCCTGTCGGAGCTCTCCTGGAACCGTCTTGGGCGGTTCCTGGGCCATCTTGGGGCTCTCCTCGGCCGTCTTGGGACGATCTTGGGGGTCTCTTGGGCCGTCTTGGGGCGGTCTTGGGGGCCTCTTCGGCCGTTTTGGAGCGGTTTTGGGATACTCTTGGACGGTCTTGGAGCGTCGGAACCCCGAAAAAGCGAGAAGGCCAAAAAACCTAGGAAAAAAAATAAAAATCAACGATTTTGGCTTGTCGGGGCTCTCTTGGGAGGCCGCTTGGGATGCCTTCGGGGCCTCATGGAGCTCTCTTGGAACGTCTTCGGGCCTTCCTGGCCATTCCTGGAACTATCTATGCGCGTCTTGGAGCGCTCGCGGGCCTTCTTGGGCGGTCTCGAACTGTTCCTGGCAGTCCCAGGGGCCCTCCGGGACGCTTCGGACGCTCCCGGGGGCGCCCTGCACCCCCCATGGAAATTACTGGCACCGCCCCCGGGCCCTACTTATACATATATATATATATATATATATATATATATATATATATAATACCATATATACCATACCATACCATACCATACCATACCATACCATGCCATACCATACCATACCATACCATACCATATCATATCATACCATATCATACCATATGGGAATTGGAAAATAAGACGTCAATATACTTTGAATAAACATATTTGTATGCAAGTAGTTATAAAACGAACGATAATTTATATATGTATATATATATACATACAAACATACATACATACGTACATATACACACATACATACATACATACATACATACATACATACATACATACATACATACATACATGCATACATACATACATACATACATACATACATATACACCAAACCAACAATAAAATACCCAAACAAAAAAAAAAAAAAAAAAAAAAAAAAAAAAAAAAAAAAAAAAAAAACAAACCACTTCGCAAGGATACCAAAAACGAGTGTCCAATGAAATGATTTTTTAAACAAAAACAAAGGTTTCGTAACACGGATTCTCATACTATAAAAATGCGCGCACGGTTTTGCGATTTTTAAGAAGGAAACCATAGGACTTCATGAGTTCCATTAAATGCTGCAAAAAGAGCTTCAAGCGCGCACATGAAGAAAACATTCGCACGCCCCTGCGC